CAGAAGAATAGGCATTAATTCTTCTTTAAATGTTTGGTAGAATTCTCCTTTGAAGCTATCCAGCCCTGGACCCTTGTTTGCTGGGAGATTCTGATTACTAATTCATTTTGTTAATTCTTTCAAAGAACCAGTGCCCAGTTTTATTGATCTGTTCTACTGTTTTTGTGATTTTTTTATATCTTTGATTTCTGCTCTAATTTTTATTTTTTCCCTTCTCCTGCTGGATTCAGGTTTTATTTGTTGTTCTTTTTGCTCTTTTAGGTGTATGTTTAGGTTGTGTATTCGAGACTTTTCTTGTTTCTTGAGGAAGGCCTATATTGCTCTATACTTCCCTCTTAGGACTGCCTTTTCTGCATTCCAAAGCTTGAGCTGCCATGTTTTCAATTTCATTTGTTTCCTTATATGTTTTTAAATTCTTCTTTAATTTCCTGATTGACCCTTTCATTATTTAGTTGGATGTTCTTTAACCTCCTTGTATTTGTGGTCCTTCCAATTTTTTTCTTGTAGTTGACCTCAAGGTTCATAGCACTGTGGTCTGAAAATAAGCACGGTATAATCTCATTTTTTTTTGTACTATTTGAGGCCTGATTTGTGACCCAGTGGGTGATCTATTCTGGAGAGTGTTCCATGTGCACTCGTGAAGAATTTTTATTCAGCTGTTTTAGGATGAAATGCTCTGAATATATCTGTTAAGTCCAACTGATCCAGTGTGTCATTCAGAGCCCTTGTTTCCTTGTTGATCCGCTGAGATGATCTGTCCATTGTTGTGAGGGGGAGTTTAAAGTCCCCTCCTATTATTGTATTATTATCAATGAGTTTCTTTAAATTTGTTATAAATTAATTTATATATTTGTTTGCTCCCATGTTAGGGGCATAAATATTTAGAATTATTAGATCTTCTTTAGAAGATCTGTTTGATAGACTACTTTATTATGATATAGTGTCCTTCTTCATCTCTTATTACCATCTTTGGTTTAAAATTTACTTTGCCTGATATAAGTATGACTACTCCAACTTTCTTTTGATAACCATTAGCATGAAAAATGGTTCTCCAACTGCTCACTTTTAATCTGGATATGTCTTTGGGTCTAAAATGAGTCTCTTAGAAAAAATAAAATACAATAAGCGAGGCAAGACAGTGGAGGAGTAGAGGACCCTATTTCAACTGGTCCCCTGAATTTAGCTGGATATCTACCAAACCATTCTGAACACCCATGATATCAGCCTGAGATGTAAGAATATATATCTGTATCTCTACAGGCAGAAAATCTCCAGCAGTCCGGAGCTATGAAGGACAGAGTCCTGATTCTACAGGCAGATACCTGAAGATAAAGAGAAGGGGGAGGAAGACTCCATAAGTTGGCACCAGGAAGGTGTTATAACACTGGAGTGCAAAAGCGTCCCACGCTGGGGACTAAGCACAGACTCACAGAGTGGTAGTGGCTGTGAAAGTGCTTTAGAGCAGCCCCCAGACAGGATCCAGGTGTGGCAGGTGCAAGCGTGTGAACCCAGGTTGGCTTACAGTTTTAGATGCACAAGAGGCAGTGACACGCCTGGCTTTGGGAGCAACCTCTGGGAGAGTTGCTGTGGGCGTGCATCACCATGGGAGGCTGTGGTTTTTAGCAGCGCAGACAGAAATGGAGAAGGTGTGTCCTAGAGAGCTCAGTGAAGAGCAGACTACAATTTCTCTGCTCTGGGTAAGAGGTTTGGGTGTGGTCATTTCTGCTCTGACTTTCGGAAGAGACAGAAGAGACACAGAAAGTCACCAGAGAACAAAAGCTCAAAAAACCGGCTTCCACTGAGCCCACCCCCTAAGACAGGGGGCAGGGCAACTCTGCTCAAGCAGGGTTGCATGAGTAACAGTGGAGCAGTCCCCTCCCCCAGAAGACAGGCTGGAAGAACAAGAGGATGACAACCCTGGGGTCCCCATAAAAAGGGTGAATCTTTCTTGGGTCATGGTTAATACTTTGGACTCTGTACATTCTTTCAACCACCTCTCAACAAAATGACTAAGAGGAGGAACCCTCAACAAAAAAAGAACCAGAAACTATGGCTTCTGCCACAGACCTATTGGTTATGGATATAAGCAAGATGACAGAGATAGACTTCAGAGTACAAATTATGAATTCGCTCTCTAGGCCTGAGAAAAATACTAGTGATAATATATAATCTCTAAGGGCAGAAATGAAATCTAATCAGGACAAACTTAAAAATGCTATGAATGAGATGCTGTCTAAACTTGATACCATGACAGCCAGGGTAAATGAGGCAGAAGAACAAATTAGTGAACTAGAAGATAAGATGATTGGAAGGAAGCCAAGGAGGCCTGGGATAAACAGCTAAAAGCCCATAAGATCAGACTGAGGGAAATTAAATGTTCCAACGTCAGAATTATTGGGATGCCTGAGGGTGTAGAGAAAGAGAGAGGACTAGAAGGTATTTGAGCAAATCACAGCTGAGAACGTCCATAATCTGAGAAAGGAAATAAGCATTTGTCTCCAAGAGGCAGAGAGGACCCCTCCCAAGATCAGTGAGACCAGACCAATGCCCTGGCATATAATAGCAAAACTTGCAAATCTTAGAACCAAGGAAATAATGCTGAAAGCAGCTAAGGGGAGAGCAGCTAAGGAAGAAGACTTCTTATGTATGGATGGAGGAACATCAGAATTACGTCAGACCTGTCCATAGAGACCTGGAAAGCCAGAAAGGGCTGGCAAGACATAGTCAGGGTACTAAATGAGAAGATGATGCAGCCAAGGATACTTTATACAGCAAGGCTGTCATTTAGAACAGACAGAGAGATAAAGAGCTTCCAGGGCCGGCAGAAACTGAAATAATAGGTGACCACTAAGTCGGCCTTGCAAGGAATATTAAGCGGGATTCTATAAAAGAAGAAAGACCCCAAGAGTAACCTAGACCAGAAATTTACAGAGACAATCTATAGAAAGAGGGACTTCACAGGCAATATGATGACAATCAAATCATATCTTTCAATAGTCACTCAACATGAATGGCCTAAATGCTCCCATGAAACAACACAGGGTTGTAGATTGGATAAAAAGACAGGACCCGTCCATATGCTGTCTACAAGAGACTCATTTTGAAATTAAAAATACCTCCAGACTGAAAATGAGGAGATGGAGAACTATTTCTCATGCTTACAAACCTCAAAAGAAAGCTGGGGTAGCAATTCTCATATCAAACAAATCAGATTTTAAGCTAAAGACTGTAGTAAGAGATGCAGAGGGACACTATATCATACTTAAAGGATCTATCCAAAAAGAAGATCTAACAATTGTAAATATCTATACCCTCAATATGGGAGCAGCCAACTATATATGGTAACTGTTAACCAAAATAAAGAATCATATTGATTATAATACTGTAATACTAGGAGACTTCAACACTTCACTATCAGCAATGTACAGATCATCTAAGCAGAATATCAAAAAAGAAACAAGAGCCTTGGATAACACGTTGGACCAGATGGACTTCATAGATATATACAAAACATTCCACCTTAAAACAACAGAATACTCATTCTTCTCGAATGCACATGGAACATTCCCCAGAATAGACCACATACTGGGTCACAAATCAGGTCTCAACTGATACCAAAAGATTGAGATTATTCCCAAAGAAACACATCAGTAATAATACAATAATAGTGGGGGACTTTAACATCCCCCTCACAGCAATGGACAGATCATCTAAGCAGATCAACAAGGAAACAAAGGCTTTGAATAACACACTGGACCAGATGAACTCACAGATATATTCAGAACATTTAATCCTAAAAAAGGAGAATACATATTCTTCTCAGGTACATTTGGAACATTCTCCAGAATAGATAATATTCTGGATTACAAGTCAGGTCTAAACTAATACCAAAAGATTGGATCATTCCCTGCATATTTTCCGACCACAATGCTTTGAAACTGAAACTCAATCACAAGAAAAAATTTGGAAGATATTCAAACACTTGAAAGTTAAAAGCATCCTGCTAAACCTATGTTTAGGTCAACCAGGAATCAAAGAAGAACTTAAACAATTCATGAAAAACAATGAGAATGAAAACACATCAGTCCAAAACCTATGGGATACTGCAAAGGCAGGCTTAAGGGGGAAATACATAGTCATCCAAGCCTCACTCAAAAAAGTAGAAAAATCCTGAATACACAAGCTAAGCTTACACCTAAAGGACTGGAGAAAGAACAGCAAATAAAACCTAAACCAAGCAGAAGAAGGGAAATAATAAAGATTAGAGTAGAGATCAATGAAATAGAAACCAGAAAAATAGTAGAGCAGATCAACAAAACTAGAAGCTGGTTCTTTGAAAGAATAAGATAGAGAAACCTCTGGCCAGACTTATCCAAAAGGAAAGTGTAGGACCCAAATTAATAAAATTATGAATGAAAGAGGAAAGATCACGACTAACACCAATGAAATAGAAACAATTATTAGAAATTATTATCAGCAACTCTATGCCAATAAATTAAGTAACCTGGAAGAAATAGATGCCTTCCAGGAAACCTATAAACTACCAAGACTGAAACAGGAAGAAATTGACAATCTGAATAGACCAATAAACAGTAATGAAATTGAAGCAGTAATCAAAAATCTCCCAATAAACAAGGGTCCAGGACCAGATGGCTGCCCAGGGGAATTCTACCAAACATTTAAAGAAGAAATAATACCTATTCTTCTGAAGCTGTTTCAAAGAATAGAAACAGAAGGAAAATTTTCAAACTCATTCTATGAGACCAGCATTACCTTGATCCCCAAACCAGGCAAAGACCTCATCAAAAAGGAGAATTACAGACCAATATCCTTGGTGAACACGGACGCCAAAATACTCAACAAGATCTTAGCCAATAGGATCCAACAGTACGTTAAAAGGATTATCCATCATGACCAGATGGGATTTATTCCTTGGATACAAGGGTTGTTCAACATTCACAAATCAATCAATGTGATAGAACACATTAATAGATGAGGCCGGAGAGGAGCATGAATGGAGCAAAATGGCGGATCATGTGCAGAGCCTGGCCCAACTAGAGAATCTGTGCAAACAGCTTTATGAGACAACAGACACAACCACTCGACTCCAGGCAGAGAAAGCCTTGGTCGAATTCACCAACAGCCCTGATTGCCTGAGCAAATGCCAGCTGCTCCTCAAGAGAGGAAGTTCCTCTTACTCCCAGTTACTGGCAGCTACATGCCTTACAAAGCTTGTATCACGCACAAACAACCCTCTACCATTGGAGCAACGCATAGATATTCGGAACTATGTGCTCAACTACCTTGCCACCCGGCCAAAGTTGGCTACTTTCGTGACACAAGCACTTATTCAGTTATATGCCAGAATCACAAAACTGGGCTGGTTTGACTGTCAGAAGGATGACTATGTCTTCAGAAATGCAATCACAGATGTCACAAGGTTCTTACAGGACAGTGTGGAATACTGCGTCATTGGCGTCACTATTTTATCTCAGCTAACCAATGAAATTAATCAAGCCGACACCACGCATCCTTTAACCAAGCACAGAAAAATAGCCTTTTCTTTCTGAGACTCATCATTATTTGATATCTTCACACTTTCCTGCAATTTACTAAAACAGGCTTCAGGAAAGAATCTAAACTTGAATGATGAAAGTCAGCATGGCTTGCTCATGCAACTGCTCAAACTCACTCATAACTGCCTAAACTTTGATTTCATCGGCACTTCTACTGATGAGTCTTCAGATGACCTGTGCACAGTACAGATTCCCACCAGCTGGAGATCAGCGTTCTTAGATTCTTCAACTCTGCAGCTGTTTTTTGACCTGTATCATTCCATCCCTCCTTCATTTTCGCCTCTGGTATTATCCTGTTTAGTACAGATTGCCTCAGTAAGAAGATCCCTGTTTAACAATGCAGAGAGGGCCAAGTTTCTCTCACATCTTGTTGACGGTGTTAAACGAATACTGGAAAACCCACAGAGTTTATCAGACCCAAACAATTACCATGAGTTTTGCAGACTACTGGCCCGATTGAAGAGTAACTCTCAACTGGGAGAATTAGTAAAGGTGGAAAACTACCCTGAGGTCATCCGATTGATAGCTAACTTCACAGTGACCAGCCTACAGCACTGGGAATTTGCCCCAAATAGTGTGCACTATCTCCTGAGCCTATGGCAGCAGCTGGCAGCCTCTGTGCCATACGTGAAGGCCACAGAGCCCCACATGCTGGAAACTTACACTCCTGAGGTCACCAAAGCCTATATCACATCCCGTTTGGAATCTGTGCACATCATCCTGAGGGATGGCCTGGAAGACCCTCTGGAGGATACTGGCCTGGTGCAGCAGCAGCTGGACCAGCTGTCTACCATCGGGCGTTGTGAGTACGAGAAGACATGCGCACTCCTCGTGCAGTTGTTTGACCAGTCTGCCCAGTCCTATCAGGAGCTGCTGCAGAGTGCCAGCGCCAGCCCGATGGATATCGCAGTGCAGGAAGGAAGGCTGACGTGGCTGGTTTACATCATCGGCGCAGTGATCGGTGGCCGGGTTTCTTTTGCCAGCACTGATGAGCAAGATGCTATGGATGGCGAGCTCGTCTGTCGGGTGCTCCAGCTGATGAACCTAACAGATTCTCGCCTGGCTCAAGCGGGTAATGAGAAGCTAGAATTGGCCATGCTGAGCTTTTTTGAACAGTTTCGTAAGATCTACATTGGGGACCAGGTGTAAAAATCCTCTAAGCTGTACCGCCGACTCTCAGAAGTTCTGGGCTTGAATGATGAGACTATGGTCCTAAGCGTCTTCATAGGAAAAATCATCACCAACCTGAAGTACTGGGGCCACTGTGAACCGATCACCTCCAAGACACTACAGCTTCTCAATGACCTCTCCATTGGATATAGTAGTGTAAGGAAACTAGTGAAGCTTAGTGCGGTACAGTTCATGCTGAACAATCACACGAGTGAGCACTTTTCATTTCTGGGTATTAACAATCAGTCCAATCTGACAGACATGCGGTGTCGGACTACCTTCTACACAGCACTTGGGCGTCTCCTCATGGTGGATTTAGGAGAGGATGAAGATCAGTATGAGCAGTTCATGCTGCCGCTCACAGCAGCGTTTGAGGCCGTGGCCCAGATGTTTAGCACTAACAGTTTCAACGAGCAAGAGGCAAAGCGAACTCTGGTTGGCCTCGTAAGAGACCTGAGAGGGATAGCTTTCGCCTTCAATGCCAAGACCAGCTTCATGATGCTGTTTGAGTGGATATATCCATCCTACATGCCAATTCTCCAGCGGGCAATTGAGCTCTGGTACCATGATCCAGCTTGTACCACTCCTGTGCTCAAGCTGATGGCTGAGTTAGTTCATAACAGATCCCAGCGACTGCAATTCGATGTCTCTTCCCCCAATGGCATCTTACTCTTCAGAGAAACCAGCAAGATGATAACAATGTATGGCAATCGCATCCTGACACTAGGAGAGGTCCCAAAGGATCAGGTCTATGCACTGAAGCTCAAGGGCATCTCCATCTGCTTCTCCATGCTGAAGGCAGCCCTCAGTGGGAGCTACGTCAATTTTGGAGTCTTCCGTCTCTATGGAGATGATGCCCTGGACAATGCTCTACAGACCTTCATCAAGCTGCTCCTTTCTATTCCCCACAGTGACCTCCTGGACTACCCCAAGCTCAGCCAGTCTTACTATTCACTACTGGAAGTCCTGACCCAGGACCACATGAACTTTATTGCAAGCCTGGAACCTCATGTCATCATGTATATTCTCTCTTCCATTTCTGAAGGACTTACTGCACTTGACACCATGGTATGCACAGGCTGCTGCTCTTGCTTGGACCACATCGTGACATACCTCTTTAAGCAACTGTCACGGAGCACCAAGAAGAGGACGACACCCCTGAACCAGGAGAGCGACCGCTTTCTGCATATCATGCAGCAGCATCCAGAGATGATCCAGCAGATGCTGTAAACGGTGCTGAACATCATCATCTTTGAAGACTGTAGGAACGAGTGGTCAATGTCCCGGCCCCTACTTGGCTTGATACTACTTAATGAAAAGTATTTTTCTGACCTAAGGAACAGTATCATGAACAGCCAGCCACCAGAGAAGCAGCAGGCTATGCATCTGTGTTTCGAAAACCTGATGGAAGGCATCGAGCTAAATCTTCTTACGAAAAACAGAGACAGGTTCACCCAGAACCTGTCGGCATTCCGTCGAGAAGTCAACGACTCGATGAAGAATTCCACTTATGGCGTGAATAGCAATGATATGATGAGCTGACACCTCCTTGGACTCTACCTGTACAGAGCAGCACCCCTTGGTCTGGCCCAGAGGGGCAAACGATTACAAGGGAGAGGGACTGGCTGACCCTGGCTCCTTCCTCCAGGGGTGTGGGGAAAATGGCAAAGTCACCTGGCTACTTCCCCAGGGAATAGGGGTGTAAGTGCACTCACTAGGGGGCAGGGCGCTGCTGGTTCCTGGGGGGTTGGGTGGGAAGGGTGGTGGGAGGAGATACACAAATGTGTGAGACTCCAGCCCCTCCTCCTGGGGCCACCCCAGGGGGTGGGGGGGAACCCCCAGTGTCCTGCCACAACCTGCCTTGTATAAACATGTACATTTTTTCATAACATTTTGAACAAGGTTTATATTGACTCAAGTTTAAAAACAAAAAGTGTGACTGAAAAATTTTTACAGAGTGTAGTGCACCAATGCTGATGTGAGGGGTTGTGTATGCGAGTGAGGAAAAAAATGTGTATTCTGGTGGTCTGAAGCTTTACTGGACGAGGATGTGTGAACGTGCAGAGATATATTTAGTGACACAGTGTAGAGAGGCAAAAAAAAAAGTAAAAATTCCAAATGTATACTTTTTCTTATTGCCCTTTCCTTGCCCCCAAAATTATCACTTCCTGTTACTGTATTACCCTTGTTATTAGGAACTCTAAGTCATGTGGAGCACCATCCTTCCCCTTCAACCATAGATGCTGCCCTAGGTCCCTCGGCCTCTTGCAGTGACAGACAACTGCAGCTAAAAGTGTTTGGTGTTCTAGCTTCATCCTTTTGCCCACTTTGCTTATCCTCATCCTCAGACAGATGCCTCTTGCTTTTACAAGTCAGATGTAACTCTATGATTTAGGATTCTTGGTCTCTGTAAAGGTAGAGACCAGAAAGAAGGAATTGAGCCAGCTGCTCTCCTGGTGAGCGACTTGGATGAGTCCACCAGAGGCCCAGGTGCGTGGCCAATAACTCTGAGTCTTCCCCAGCCCTTGAGGCAGTGTGTGTTGGTGTATGTGCATGGATATTTATATATGTACCCTGCACTCGTGAATGTATGAACTGGAGGAAGTTACTACAGTGGAGGGGTTCTTAATAACAAGGTCTGCCTAGCATGAAGTATTTAACAGTCTCCCACGCCTTTAAAAATATACATTTTTATAAAATGAAAACCATAATAAATGTTCTGAATATTAAAAAAATTAACCTACAGAAGAAAATTAATGGAGAAAGCTATTTGCCTTGTACTTTTTCCACAATTGCTGCCGCTAGTTGTACGCATCTCTAGTTCAGCTCTTGCCCATGGGACACTCATCATCAATTAGGTTTTACCTTTATTTCTCTCCTCTGCCCCCAAAAACAAGCCTGTTAATTTTTTTTTTCCTTCTCCTCTGGCGACTGTGTGGTGAATCCTTTCTTGCGTGATCAGGTTGTGGATAGATTTGTAAGGGTGTTTGCTGCATACATTGTAAGCATTGTGACCGCCAATAAACTTCAATGGTTTCTACTGAAAAAAAAAAAGAACACATTAATAGATGAAAAGACAAGAACCATATGGTCTTCTTAATTGATGCAGAAAAAGCATTTGACAAAATAAAGCATCCTTTCTGGATTAAAACTCTTTTGATTGTAGGAATAGATGGAACATTCCTCAATATCATAAAAATCATCTATGAAAAGCCCACAGCTAATATCATTCTCAATGGGGAAAAGCTGAGAGCTTTTCCCTTAAGATCAGGAACAAGACAGGGATGCCTATTCTCACCACTATTGTTAAACATAGTACTAGAAGTCTTAGCCACAGCAATCAGAGAACAAAAAGAAATAAAAGGTATTCAAATTAGCAAAGAAATTAAACCCTCTTGCAGATGACATGATATTTTATGTGGAAAACACAAGAGACTCCACCCCCAAATTACTAGAACTCATACAGCAATTCAGTAATGTGGCAGGATGCAAAATCAGCACACAGAATTCAGTTGCTTTCTTATACGCTAACAATGTAACTGTAGAAAGAGAAATTAGAGATTCAATTCCATTTACAATAGCACCAAAAACCAGAAGATACCTTGGAATAAATGTAACCAAATTGGCAAAGGACCTATACTCCAGAAACTATAGAACACTTATGAAAGAAATTGAGGAAGAAACAAAAATTGAAAAACATTCCATGCTCATGGATTGGAAGAATAAACATTGTTAAAATGTCTATGCTGCTCAGAGCAATTGCTACTTTAAAATACCACTGGCATTTTTCAAAGAGCTGGAACAAACAACCCTAAAATTTGTATGTAACCAGAAAAGACACCGAATCACAAGGAAATGTTGAAAAAGTAAAACAAAGCTGGGGGCATCACATTGCCTGATTTCAAGCTGTATTTCAAAGCTATGATCACCAAGACAGCATTGTACTGGCACAAAAATAGACACATAGATCAATGGAACAGAATAGAGTCTTCAGAAATGGACCCTCAACTGTATGGTCAACTAATCTTCGACAATTCAGGAAAAAATATCCAATGGAAAAAAAGACAGTCCCTTCAATAAATGGTGCTGGGAAAATTGGACATCTATGTACAGAAGAAAGAAACTCTATCATTCTCTTACACCATACACAAAGATAAACTCTAAATGGATGAAAGACCTGAATGTGAGACAGGAATCCATCAAAATCCTAGAAGAGAACATAGGCAGTAACCTCTTTGACATGGGCTTCAGCAACATTTTTCATGACACGTCTCCAAAGGTAAGGATAACAAAAGCAAAAATGAACTTTTGGGACTTCATCAAGATAAAAAGTTTCTGCACAGCAAAGGTAACAGTCAACAAAATGAAGAGGCAACCCACGGAATGGGAGAAGATATTTGCACATGACATTACAGATAAAGGGCTGGTATCCAAGATCTATAAAGAACTTCTCAAACTCAACACCCAAAAAAACAAAGAATCTAGTCAAGAAATGGGTAGAAGACATGAACAGACACTTCTTCAAAGAAGACATACAAATGGCTAACAGAAACATGAAAACATGTTCATCATCATTAGCCATCAGGGAGATTCAAATCAAAACCATATTGAAATATTACCTTACACTAGTTAGAATGGCAAAAATTGACAAGACAAGAAACAACAAATGTTGGCATGGATGTGGAGAAAGGGGAACCCTCTTACACTGTTAGTGGGAATGCAAGTTGGTACAGCCACTTTGGAAAACAGTGTGGAGGTTCCTCAAAAATTTAAAAATAGAGCTACCCTATGACCCAGCAATTGCACTACTGGGTATTTACCCCAAAGATACAGATGTAGTGAGAAGAAGCGGCACATTCACCCCAATGTTCATAGCAGCAATGTCCACAATAATCAAACTGTTGAAGGAACCAAGATGCCCTTCAACAGATGAATGGATAAAGAAGATGTGGTTCATATATACAATGAATGTTACTCAGCCATCAGAAATGATGGCTATTTGCTTCAACATGGATGGAACTGGAGGGGATTATGTTAAGTAAAATAAGCCAAGCAGAGAAAGACAATTATCATATGGTTTCACTCATATGTGGAACATAAGGAATAGCATGGAGTTCATTTGGAAGGAAGGGAAAACTGAAGGCAGGGATATCAGAGGGGGATAAAAACCATGAGAGATTCTGGACTCCAGGAAACAAATTGAGGGTTTCAGAGGGGAGGGGGAGATAGGGTAGCCCAATGATGGGTATTAAGGAGGGCACATGTTGTAATGAGCACTGGGTGTTATATGCAAATAATGAATCATTGAACACTACATCAACAGCTAATGATGTACTGTATGGTGACTAACATAATAAAAATAAAAATAAAATAAAAAATAAAATGAGTCTCTTGTAAGCAGCATATCAATCGGTCTTGTTTTGCTGCTTTTTTTTTTAATCCATTCTGATACCTTATGTCTCTTGACTGGAGCATTGAGTCCATTTATATTCAGAGTGATTTGTGATGTATATGAATTTAGTCCCATTGTATTACCTGTACAGTTGCTGTTCCCGTAGATTGTCTCTCTTCCTTTAGTCTTTGTTACTTTTGGTCTCCCTTTTCTAAAGAGTTCCCTTTAGTATTTCTTGCAAGTCTGGTTTTGTGTTCACAAATTCCTTATTTTTTTGTTTATCTTGGAAACTATTTCTCCTTGTATTCTGAATGACAGCCTTGCTGGATATAGTATTTTTGGTCCCATATGTTTCCTATTTAGCACATTAAATATATCATGCCAGTCTTTTCTAGCTTGCCAGGTATCTGTCGACAGGTCTTTTGCCAGCCATATGTGTCTACATTTGTAGGTTAAGGATTTTTTATCCTGAGGTGCTTTCAGGATTCTCTCTTTATCCTTGTATTTTGCCAGTTTCACTATAACATGACTTGGGATGATCTGTTTTTGTTGATTTTGAGGGGAGTTTCTGTACTTCTTGGACTTGAATGTCTGTTTCCTTTCCCCAGTTATGGACGTTCCCAGCTATAATTTCTTCAAATAAACCTTCTGCCTCTCTTCTCCACTCTTCCTCTTCTGGGACTCCTATGATATGGATATTGTTTCACTTTATGGAGTTGTTGAGTTCCTTAAGTCTACCTTGGTGATCTTATAGTTTTCTTTGCATCTTCTTTTAAGTATCATTATTTTCCATAATTTTATCTTCTATATCACCTATCCACTCCTCCACTTCTTCAGTCCTCGTAGTGATTATATTCAGTCTGTTTTGCTTCTTAGTTGTAGCATTTTTTTTATTTCAGCATTTTTAGTATTTTAGTTTTAGGTCATTTATCTCTGTAGCAAGGGTTTCTCTGCTGTCTTCTATGTTTTTTGCAAGTCCAGCTAGTAGTCTTATAACGGTTGGTCTAAATTCTTGTTTAGATATATTGCTTAGATCTGCTTTGAGTAATTCCCTGGCTTTGATATCTTCCAGAACTTTCTTTTGGGGAGCATTTCTCCATCTTGTCATTTTGGCTAAGATTCTATCTTTTGCATGTTATGGATGCTTGTTATGTTTATGTTTCCTGCACCTCAGAGTAAT